AAGTGCAGTACAAAAGAACCATAACTCTGCCTTGCAAAATTTTAGAGTTATTGCCCTTTGTTCATTTTGACACTTTGAAATTTGTCGGGACATTACTTGGAAACCATAATAAGTATCAACAAAAAACTGTCTAGGTAAATATATATAATAAAATAAAAGTGCAGTGCAAAAGAATCGCAAATCTGCATTGCCTAATTTTGTAGTTATTGTCCTTTGTTAATTTTTACACTTTGAAATTTTACGGGTCATAACTCTAAAACGATAAGAGATATCAACTTGAGACTGTGTTGGTAGATGGATCTCATTAAGTAAATGTGCAATGCGCAATAACCATAACTCTGCCTTGCTCAATTTTGGAATAATCAGTTGTTCTTTTTTTACTATTTGATTTTTATCCGGGACATAAATATAAAATTATAAGAGATATCAACATGAAACTTTGTAGGTAGATATACCTCATTGGGTACAAGTGCGGTGCAAAACAACCTTGTCTGATTTAGGAGTTATTGCCTTTTCTTCATTTTAACACCGTGATCTTTGTACGGGACATTACTCAGAAACCATATGATGTATCAACTAAAAACGTAGGACATAGCTCTGAAACTACAAAAGGTATACTTTTCTGTATACAAAATTTATTCGTATCACCTGGTTCAACTGGCATTTGTTTGTTTTTTTTTTTGTTTCGTTGAAAATCGGTTTTATACCTTGCTTTATTTTTTAAATATGTATTAAATTAATATTAATAAGTATCAGTTTGATATCCAAAATTTGTACATTACATTTCATTATCAGAATTTGGATTGAATGCCGACTGCACTGAATTCGCTTCAAATATTCACGATATTAAAGTAGCATTTAATTAATAGTTTCAATAATAAATTTCTTCTTAGGAGGGAGGTTCTCTTTTGACGTGAAGGGACCGAAAAGATTTTTGTGTAACTAAATGTATGTCTAGACCAAAAACTCATGAGCAAAATATCACATCATAAGCTCACTCCATTTTCCTAGCAAGAATCAATTTTATTGTGAAAATCTGTCCATAAAACGAACACAGTTGCAACGCCTTTAAGACAAATCGGCCAACAATCGTATACAAATCGATTATCAATTTTATAGCTTGCAGTTTTCTAGTGGACTTCCTTTAAGGTTTTTACTAAATCATTGATGCAATTTATGTTTTGTATATTTATTTTGTAAATGTAGAAGAAGAAATTAATATTCCTTAAATCAATAAACTTCAAATTGTAATACATTATTTGGCTGTACTATCATCATGAATGATATTCAAAACATTATCGATAAAAGAAGCGAAGATTCAGTAAAGATTAATGTAAAATAGGGACATAAAAATACGCAACATATTAAGGTAGACCATGGGTAATGGGCACCATAAAGAACTGTAAAATTGACAACATAGGACAGTTATATGTCTTCAAGGTCACCTGTATGCAAAATTTAAATAAAATTTACCGTGTGGTTTATGAGTAATGGATATATTTCTGAACTAAGACCTTGCCATTTGAAGGGCTTATTTTCAGAAATGAGGAAACTGTAAATACTCTGTAATATCATCATTATAAAAAATGTTTTTCTATTGCTCATTGTTAATAAACAAATAATAACATTCAAGTAACACATTACACAACCAAAATGTTTGGTTCTAAACAAAATGTTCTTAAAATGTATAAAAATGTAACCCTACCCCGCCCACTTTTAACACTAATTTTACCATTTCCATATCTAAAATGCCTTATTCAAAATATCCCTAAAATTTATCGAAATGAGGGTCTGTTTTCAAACTTTGCCTAAATTTTTTCAAAGGTATATTAGTTGATCATGCGAAATATAAAATACTTTTACCGTGTAGTTTTTATTTTATCGAACTTTGAAAATATCTGGTATCATATTTGTTATAAATTTTGGCATTATTTAACCAAAAAAATACCTAAAATAATTATATAATTAAAATCAAACTTTTTTTCTTCCATAAGGGATCAGAGAGATACATAAAAAATGTTAAAAAGAAAAAAAGAAAGAAAAAAAAAAGTTGCCCCTTCTGGGGTTTGAACCCACGCCCCTCAATTTCAATGTAGTTTACAAGCGATTCTAGCCTATTTGAATACTCTTCAAAGTGGAGGTAATGCATTACCCATGGTCTACCTTAACATGAAATTGGTATTTTCTTGAATAAAGAATTGTATAATACATTTTAGAAAGATATTTTAGAAAAACAACAAAAAAAAAGTCAAAGAGTTTATTGGCATAAACATTATTCACGTTCATCGCCAAGTTTTATGAATGGCGGTTTATAATTTAACATAAAACATTGCATATACAATTACAAATTTTGTAATAAATACATGTACAAAATATACATAATATTTAAGTACAGAAAAGTGTGGTGATGGATTGAACATAGCTACATAATTACAGGAAAATAACAGTAAAACACAAAAAACAACATTGATTTTCAGATTAATATTGTTTGAAAATAAAGAGAAAAAATCTTAACAGAAAACTAGACAGTATTTCTTTTTTCAAATGATAAGTGAATATATTTAGCTAATTTTATTATAACGTTTTTAGAAGAAGAAGTCATTAAACTTTTAAATTTGTTTATATTTGGCCAAGTATAATAGTATCTTGGTAAATAAAGTGCTCTTAAATCAGAATAAAATGGACATACCAATAACAGATGATACTCATTTTCAACAACTTTCATATTACATTTGACACATAATCTATTGTTTCTATTTATATTTCTGAAGCGACCTTCCTCTATAGCTAATCTATGAGCCGAACATCTAAATCTTGAAAGGTGTTTATCATTTGTTATGATACTAAGATATTTTTCATAACCAAACTCAGTTTTAATTTCTTTATAAACTTCTAATTTTCTAGATACACGCAGTTCAGCTAACCAATTTTGCATATTTTGATCTTTAATACGTTTTATAATACTATTTACTTGAGAATTATTTAATACTAAGTTTGGATCCGACAAACCAAGCAAATTTAACAAACGTTTTACATATAATGTCCAGGCATTGACTAAATTATCATTCTGGTCTTTTAAATACATAATTTCAACATAAGTGTACCTGGGGTTTGCCTAATTCTAGACCAAAATTTTATTATTCTGATAGTACGAATGACTGATGATGGAAATTTACCCAATTCTCCATAAACGGCAATATTTGTTGTTTGTTGACGAACTCCTAAAATCTGTTTTAGGAACTTAAGATAAACGCGCTTTATGTCTGGACTATTATGAAAACCCCAGATTTCACATCCATATGTCAGTATTGGTAAAACCATTGATTCAAAAAGTTTAATTTTTTCAGTAACACAATGAATAGTTGTACCAAACGCAGTGCTTTATTACATCTCTTGGTGTCTGTTCAAAATTAATTGCATTCAGTGCCTTTGGAATTAAAATGTTCAAATATATAATTACTTATATACTGTATTCCAAGAAAAGATTTCGCGCATTTTAAGTTAGCGGTTTTCGCGGTAGGCATGATTCCGCGAATTTTTATAGACGCGAATATGTCACTTACAACAAATCCGCGAACATTTCTAGCTTCAGCCAAATATAACATAAAAAGTGCAGAATTATAATTTATTATAATCTACTTACACAAAAATCATATAAACACAGGTGCTATAGAAATGTGTAAAGAATAATTTATGTATGTTATTGATACTAGTTTGCACGCTGAAAAAGAAAATATCAATTATTAGTAATTATCATGCTTATTGACGTTATTTGCTAGTCACAGCGTTGACAAACGCATTTACAGTTTGCGAACATTGAATGACTTGGATTTTATTTGCTTGGAGTAGGTGTAATCCTTTGTTAAAAGTACAAAAGCTATAAAGTGCTACCTTGATAAACAGTTGTTATGTTGTTATTATATAATGAAAGCGATGTACAGTCCGATAATGTGTAAAAAAATACGTATCGACATTTGAAGATAAAGTCAGTTAGGATTCAATTTGAATAAAAGCTAATGAGTCTGACTAAATCTTACTTAATAACATAATGAAAATAGGTAAGGAAATATGAAAGTGTTCACGGAACAACCGTCCTTGTTCAACTAGTCAATAGATGAAAATGTATCGAGTACCGTTGCGCTTAAGGTGCGAATTGTCAAAAAAATAAAATAATTAAAAGCACCCAACAGGCAAAGTCATGCATCAAAAACGTAGCCTCCAAAAGCTGTAATTTAGGCCGTAGCGACTTAACATTCGCGGAATTCGCGGTTACTACATATCCGCGAAAGTTTGTCTCCGCGAAAATGCCGACGTTGTGAAAAACGCGAAATATTGTATCCGCGAACATTTCTAGGAATACAGTAATTAGTTATATTTATTCATTTGAAAGCAAAAAGGTCAGAGGCTATAAAAAGTCATAGACCATCACTTTTATCTGGAAGTTCTTAAAGTAATATTGTTTTTGAAAGAATAGAAAGATTCAACAATACTAGTACAGTGAGTACAACAATGTCGATATCTTTTCGAAACATTATCCAAAATAAATTTCATATTTAAACGCAACAGGACAAGAGCTATTAAAGGTCTAGTGATTAACAAATTTACAACGTTAAGCACATGCGCCTTAAAAATACTATATAAGGCCTTGTATAAGATCATTTTATTAAAATATTTATGTTTAAAATAGACAAAAATAAATAGATTCTAAATACGAAAAAAAATGAAAATGTTGCAAACTTTCTTTTGGGATTCTGTTTTCCTGTATGTGATTAAAACTCAATTTTAAATTAGACGTTAGACATAAATAGCATTCATAAATAAAACTGTTGTGAATAAAGAGTAGATGTTGAAATAATGAATTCAAGTGAAATTAAAACAGGATTAAGTGTTCGAGACAACATAACATAACAAAGAGAAAACAATCTCAATTTGATTATTAGTTATTTGCTCTTACAGTCTAAGAAGAAAAAGCATAATAACAGATCAAAGACTATGTATCTAACAATAAAAGGACAAAATGTTCAATAATGAATTAATTATAAAAAAACAACAGCTAAATTTATATATAAGATAGGATATTACTAGAATGAGGTGGCATATGCGCATTTGTTCCGTCTTTCTAATACTAATATGTTTTGACTATTTTCTGATTAGAAGATTTGTCTTAAATAGTGAACGAAATCATCATAATGACTTGAACCTGAATGATTCAATATCCATCAGAATGGATAAAAGTGAATACACTCGATTATATTTTGAAAATGATGTATTTTATGTATCAAGTGAAACTCAAATCACAACTCAAACTAAAAAAGTAGTTATGTTTTACAACCTCCCAGAGTACATGGACAAATATTTAAAGACTGATCTTTATTATACAAACTGTGATTATAAAAATTGTATGTTAACGAAAAATGCAAAATTCGTCTATTCAGCGGATGCAATTATATTTTATATAGGAATACGGAACAAACGATTGGGAATGAATCCACCTTTCAATAATCAACAAAGAAATCCTAATCAAGTGTGGATATTTACAACAATTGAACCACCAGTGCATTATTACAATACAGACTATATGTTATCATCGTGGGAAAATCAGTTTAATTGGTCTATGCTATATCGACTGGATTCAGATATACCGAATCCTTATGGTTGTTTACTGCTACAAACAACATTGGAAGTAAAAAATTATGATAATATATACAATTTAAAAGGTAGAAATGCTCTTTGGATTGTCAGCCATTGTCATGTTTCTAGTGAAAGAAGATTATACGTTAACGAAATGATAAGACATGGATTCGACATAGATATATATGGTGGTTGTAGTTCTGAAGGTCGTAAGATAAGTCAAGGGGAACTGGAATCAATGATTCCTAGATATAAATTCTTTTTAGCATTTGAAAACTCTATCTGTAATGATTATATTTCAGAAAAATTCTTTCAAAATTATAATCATAGCTGGATAATTATTGTACGAGGGGGAGCGGACTATCACACATTGCTACCAAATAAGAGTTTTATCAATACAGCAGATTTTGTAAACGTGTCGAGTCTTGTACACTATCTTATTAAAGTAGGAAATGACAAAAAGATGTATGAAAGTTATCTTAGAAATAAAGATCGTTTTGTAAGCCTCCGCTGGCCAATGAATAGAAATTGTGAAATATGCCGTAGACTTAACAATCTAGATAAATTTAGGAACACATACAAAAATGTTGGAAAATATCTCAACTTTGGTCAGTGCCGACGGGCTTTTGATTTGTAACACATTTGAAATATGCATAATTCAAAATATATAAATAGCATATAAAAATGCACGAATGTTCCATTTAATCTGTGTTTAGTGTTTACCGATTTTATATGTTGATTTCAGGGTATTAAGTTTTCGACATGTAAATATTTCAAGGCCCAAAGTCCTTTTGACTTAACGTAAGATCAATCATAGAAGTTCTTGTCATGTACGTTTTAAATTGCAGGAACTTTTGTTACTTTTACTCTATAAATCTTTGTTATACATGAAGTATTAAAGAAGTATTAAAATCATTAAAGGTGGCAAGTGAAATTAGGAGCGTTGGTTATTCGTGTAAGTTGGTTATTTGGAAAGAATCAATATAATTTAACCTGTTTTTACAGTAGAGGAACAAGGAAAAACAAGTTTGACACAAGCTTGAATTTGTTGTATTAAAAAGCTGTACCGAAAAGCTAAGATCAACTATGAATAATATAAAGTTGACTACCAAAGGAACTTTCCTGTGAAGTTTGGATCAAATTGGCTTAGGGTTTTATGCTAAATACAGAGCAATAAGCTCACAAGCAATAAGGGTCACAAGCAAGATGAACAGGTCAGTTTTATAACTTGATTTTGCATTCAACAAAGTTATGTCTTTTTAAAGCATTTAAAGGAACATAATGATTATTCATTTGAGCTGATTAAGTTTTATTATTTCAAAAAATTGACATTGTACGGTTACTTAACAATAATTGATATTAACAAATGTTTAGGATAAAATATATAAACGCTGCATGGCTCCAGATTTATTCTGATTTACATGAAATCTTTTAAGTAAGATATTGCAAAGTGAACATAGACAGTAATTTACATATTGCAAACCACACAAAAAACCCACGTAAATTTTCAGGTAACAATATGAAAAATACCCATATTGCGTTAGTCACACAGTAGAAATACTGTGATAAATATTGCGAAAAAATCATTTATTACATATACAGCAATATGCAAATTATTACTTGCATTGAGATTATTCTACTTTTCGTAAACTCTAAGAATAGTTTTTCATGGTTATTTTGATGATACAATTTTCCTCATTTGAAGACAGCTTTAAAACAGACATAAATATAAAAAGACGTCTCCACTGTTTTAATAAACATAATGAATACATTGTGTTCATTATATTTCAAGATTTTTTATTATATATTTGGGTTTTCGATTCCTGCAAAGTTATTATAAAACTGAAAACAATCACGACAAAATCAGAGTTGTTTTAACTTGTAACACTACTAATACTTTGATTGTAATAAGAAACAGGACAGGTAATTGCTTGAAAATTAAAATGTATATTGATTCTAACAAGCAAGCACAGGAGGAAAAGTTCATCACCTCTTTTCCTATTTTTATTTCATAGGAAAGCACAATCAGAGGTTATATTGTCGTATTCAAACGTATTCAATAGATTTTTTTGGTGTTATAGAGTATCAGTATCAATCTTATTTTTTTAATCTATTCATCTCTGATAGTAAATATTTGTATCATGATGGTAACTCCTTCAAGTTTTTAAGAGCAGTTAAGCTATTTTGTGTCCAAAGAAAATGGCATTGACCATTGATCTGTATTCTGTATTACCTCACCACATTATATTTACTTCAGTGTACCATAATTCTAACCTGAAATTGGTCCAAGTTTTGACCGAGAAAACCATAAGTTGGGTTTTTTCATATGAAATATTTCCATATGAAGTTAAAATTAATAGAATGTAGAGTATTTAAGTATTGTCCCTTCTTACAGGTCATGATCTGTATTCTGTATTACCTCGCCAGATTATATTTACTTCAGTGTACCATAATTCTAACCTGAAATTGGTCGAAGTTTTGACCGAGAAAACCATAAGTTGGGTTTTTTCATATCAAATATTTCCATATGAAGTTAAAATTAATATAATGTAAGTATTGTCCCTTCTTACAGGTCATTATGCACCTTTCAAAGAACATTATAACTCATGTAAAGAGTTACCTTAACAAAGCATGTCAAGCACATATTTCCCTTTAATTCCATGTTTGATTTTTTGTTTGTTTCCACACAGAACAAATAACGTTCATGAGAATATTACTTAATTTTCAAATTCTATCGTGTGCTTAAGATCAGATTGTTGCAGGCAGTAACATTATCTTATTGGCGGAAATATTGATAATTTATCTTGAAAATCTTTCACTATGTAATTATATATGGGAATGGGATTAGATAAACATCTGAAAACAAAGTGATGCTTCGGAGGCATTTATCACAATAAAATTACATGAAAATTGCTTGCTAGGTTTGATTGAGTTTTTACATGAGGGAAAATGAACATTCTTCCCGCCTCCAAGCACGCCTTGAGCGGTACTCAATTCTCAACACTTAATAGTGCTGACATCAATGACTTCGAAAGACCAGAAAACCCTGAGTTGAGATAAAATGTTAAAAATTTGTTTGAAAATACTTTCACTTAAAATGCCCAAAACGTTAATATAGATATTTCAATTTAAATCTGTATCTTTAATTTTCATAACAAGACAGGAAGTTCTAATTTTACTGGTAGACTTCAGGTGCTCCTCTACATTATTTCAATCACCTGGGAAAAAATCACCGATGTTTTATAAGCTAGCCCAATAGCTTTGTTATAAATAAATATTGTGATCTGAACAAGGAACTGAAGCGTACAAATAAGTTGTGCTATGAGGCATTGAACAGGGAACACAAGAAATTCAGTATTGTGTTAAGTAGCATTTTTAACGTTCTGGATTGTGAATTGTCATTATTAAGAATTTGCATTGTTATATATTCGTTATACATGTTACCCTTGGGATATATAGGATAATATTGACTTCCTTAGATATATATCACCCTCGGCAGACGCCACAGACTATATTGATCTCAGTCAGTCTATATTTTCCTGTATTTTAAATCAGCAACTTGTATAATAAAGATAATATATAATGTGGTCTGAGTAACGTGTATTCTGTCATATATATATATATAACACTACTTTAGGCATTAGGGGACCGTTTCTTAAAACATGTATAAAGGGGACAATTTATAGTTTTCAGTAGAATTGACTTTTTAAAGATCAGATGACATATTTGTAGCATTCAAAGCTCAATTAATATTTGCCTGTATTCATTTTCCCGATACACCTTATAAATAAAAATATACAAAAAAATTGGTAATCCTAATATTTGCTTAGTATTTTATATTCTTTAAGGTGACCGGTATATATACAAAATATAATACATACATTAGGGTGACCAGGTATATATACAAAATATATCACATGAATTAGGGTGACCACAGCACACTTCAGGTATTAAGGGGACATCATACAAGATGTATTCAAACATTGCTACTTTCCACTTTAAATAACAAGAGTTTTCAGGGGACTATTCAAGTACATCTTGCTCCACTTTTCGATTAGAGCTTACAAAGAAACAATGTTTCAGGATAAAATTTTTGTGGGTAATTTACTGTCTTGAAAGTTTTGTTTATTTATTTGTTTTTGGTTTTACGTCACACCGACACAGTATAGGTCATTTGGCGACGTTCCAGCTTTACTGGTGGAGGAAGACCTCAGGTGCCCTTCCATACATTATTTCAAGCATAAACGGGCACCTGAGTAGAACCACCGACGTTCCGTCAGCTAGCTGGATAGCTTCCTAGGCGGGATTATGTTTAACAAGTGTAGTATAATAATTCAAATAATTTACTTTAACAACAAATTATGACAAAATAATTCATTTTAAAGGAGCTTGTTGACACGGGTCACTTCGGACCAGAAGATACCGTATAAATTTGTTTATCATGTGTTTCATTGACCTAATATCTGGGTGTACAATTAGTTTGTGGTTGTCTGAGTCACTTTTAATCTCTTGTCATTTCAGATGTTTTCTGAAAGTTTTAATTGGATAATGCATGGGAAAGTTTATTATGAACTTTAGGTTAAGGATTATGAAGGCTATCTCCACTAATCCAGTGGTCACATTACTTTTTTAAAGTAAAAATAGCACAATTTAAGGGGTAACATGAGTTTATTTTATCATAAATGTATATCTTCCATATAACACACTATATTTCACCTTTCAAATACAATGCAATACATTTCATCTCTACCATATCACACAATAAATTTTATCTCTTTCATAATCAAAATATATTTCATCTCAGCCATATAACACAATAAATCTCATCTCTCCCATACAATGCAATACATTTCATCTCTGCCATATAACACAATAAATTTCATCCTATTCATAAAACACAATATATTTCATCTCTACCATATAACACGACAAATTTCATCTCTTTCATAAAACACAATATATTTCATCTCTACCATATAACACAATAAATTTCATCTCTTTCATAAAACACAATATATTTCATCTCTACCATACAACACAATAAATTTAATCTCTTCTATAAAACACAATATATTTCATCTCTACCATATAACACAATAAATTTCATCCTTTTCATAAAAAACAATATATTTCATCTCTACCATATAACACGACAAATTTCATTTTTTTCATAAAACACAATATATTTCATCTCTACCATACAACACAATAAATTTCATCCTTTTCATAAAACACAATATATTTCATCTCTACCATACAACACAACGAAATTCATCTCTTCCATAAAACACAATATATTTCAACTCTACCATATAACAGGACAATTTCATCTCTTTCATATAGCACAATATATTTCATCTCTACCATATAACACGACAGATTTCATCTTTTCCATAAAACACAGTGCATTTCACCTCTACCACATATCACAAAACATTTCATCTCTACCATGTAAAACAATATGTTTTATCTTTTCCTCATGGCACAACAATACGTTTCTTCTCTTACATATAACACAATGCATTTATATCTACCACGAAACAGATTACATTTCATCTCTTACATATAACATAATATATTTCATCACTTTCACATAACACAATATTTTTCATCTCTTTAATATAGCACTATTCATGTC